TTAAAAACAAAAACAAAAAAAAAGAAGACGACGTTTTACTCTATGGAAGATATAAATGATATTTCGAACAGTTCGTTTCACTTGAAAAAAACTTTCAAAATATCTCAGAAACTTTTATGCGAATAATTTGATCCTTTCATACTTCGTCATATATTCTTCAAGCTAAGCCAAATTATTTTAGCAATTATAACACTCACAGTCATACTTTTCTACATGTTCACTTTAACGTGAAAAAATAATATTTCTAAATTTTTAATAATTGATTTATCAAATATGCAAATTATTCATAATTTATTTTTTTCTATCCTTTATGTCAATAGTATTAGTGATAACACTTATATCACTGAGTAATCTTTGAATTTATCAAATGTACAACAATAAAATTCCACATGAATATATCTATTGGGTTTATCGGATAAATACAATTTTTTCTGTAAAATCCATTCATTTAAAATTTGATTCATATTAAAATGTTGGAAAAGAGAAAGAGAAAGAAAAGGGATTATAGGAATTAAGACGATTAATATAAAACAATTGTTATAGTAAATTAAATACATAATAATAACCGATGTCTAGTTAACTAAACTAATTTTTTCATATCATTTTCATGCTAATCTGTTCGTATTTTATTTTTTATTCTATCAAAAATTATTATTGCATTATTAATTACCCTTTTAGCTAATTGATAATTTTGTTTATTTATATTGCAATTTTTTTATTTACCTTTTATTTGATAAATGCCCAAATTTCACATGTAAATTTCACATTTTGAAGTGAAAATATTATAAATATGAAAATTTTCCAATCTCTTTCCTCGCCGTAAAAGATTTGCGACTATAAATCATTGTAATAATACCTTGGGATTTAGTGGAAACAGGAACAAAATATAAAATTTTAATGACACACTAATATTTTGAAGGAAAATTATTCATTCGTCGTAAAATTAAAACTTAATATTTGGCAATAAATTGTAATCTGTTTGGTGAGAATAATTGTTTGGAATAGATTTTGGCTAATTTAAAGATTGTAAATTTTAAAGTGTCAAATAAATGTTAATAAAATGAACTAGGAATGAATTATTTTTGCGCAATTTTTATCATTTTATTTTACTTTTTTGATTCAAAAAATCTGTGCAGTTTTTTGATAAGTAATTTACTTTGTAAATGTTTTTGTAAATATTTTGTATTTTAATATTTTGAAGTATTTTGCATTTTAGGAAATAAGTATTCAAGTATTTTTTGAGAAAATTCTGTCATTTTTCAATGCAAAATTTTTTCTCAATACCTTTTTATAAATGTTTCAAATAAAATAGTTATTGCGATAGAAGTTTTTATTTATTTTTTTAAAAATATAAATAGACATTCAGAAATATGGAAAATATGAAATTATTTACTTTTATTTATTCGGCTATAATTAAATAATAGAATATCTAATTTTTTGGCAAAATATTTCATTTTCAGATAAACAAATTAAATAAAAAAAAAATCAATTCTTCCTTCATTACCATTGTATTAATTGCAAGTCAAGGTCATTATTGACAAATTTTTTCATTTATTCACAAATGTTTGCAGTTTGATTTCTTTTTTTTTTCTTTCACTTCTTTTTTTCCACTTCGTCCAAATTGCGGCATTGTAATATCGTCCAATAATTCATCATTTCTCTTTTTGGACACAAACGCGCAGCCCAATTTTCATCTACGCATTTATTTGAGAGGAATTAGTTCACATATATTTTGTTAATTTTATCAAAACAAGAAAAAAAAAGTGAAAAAGTCATGCAATATTAAAATTAGTGATTATTTGAATTGTAATAAAAATGACAAAAATTATAATAATGATGATAACTAATTTAACAAATAATAATATTCAATTAGTATCATCGTCATATTTTTTTTTTTTGTTTTTAGTTTCCTTTTTATTTTATTTCAATTGCTAAATGTGTCATATGAACTGATGACTATTTCATTGTCTCATTAATTATCATTAATTACAATTATAGGAAGTTAAGCTCTATGTTTATTGAAATTATATGAAAAAATATATAATAAAGGGTATTGTTTTCCATAGAATACTTTTTTTCTATTTCTAATGCAAATTGTTTTGAAAAGTATTTAAAGAAAAAAATCTGACAAAATACTATAAAAAGAAAAATTTCCTTAGGGAATATAATTGATTTTTTCTTTTCTATGCTCTATCATGAATTTTTTATCAAATTTCCTGAAAATTTCAACTATTTTCGGTTCGTTTTCAACACTTTCATCAATCTTCTACGATCCATCTAAACAATAATGTATGCATTAGTTTTTCTCCAATCAATTTGACAACTTTAATTATTTTGACTTAATTTTTTCTCAATCACTTTTATCCTACTTATGCTGATTACTTTGATCAAATTTTCCACTTCTTTTTTTATCCACTTCACTTTGATCACTTTGATCGTGTCCCTTTTCAAATAATTTCATTTAAATATTAAATCTCTCCCCATTTATTTATTTTTTAAAATTATTTTTAACAAAGAAAAAGTGTAGATGAGAATTCATTCCTAATAATCTCCTGAAAATGAGATTGCATATATGATAATCATTGTACTA